AGCCACCTGTCTCCAGGATGCATGGCCAAGAACTCAAGGCTTTAAATTAATTGTTGTAGATTTTGAGCCGCTCAGTTCAGCCTGCAGACAATGTTTACACGGCAAAGTTGGATGGAGTGAAAGAGACAATAATGCCTTTTTGGAACACCATAAGACAAAACAGTCTCTACAGAGACATTTTTTGGTCTAAGGGCATAATTGCCATTGATAGTACAAAAAGCCCTGGGTTTGAATCCTGATCATGCCTTTCTTCCCTAGGTTATTAGGGTGAGGGTGGGGGAGGCTGCACTTTAAAGAATTTTGCCTCAGACAAAGGTGGCTTAGCGGTTTGGGCCTAGGATTCGCTCTAGATTTGTGTCCAGGTGGTTGTGGGTTCCAATCCCAGAGACCTCTTAAACCAAACCAGAGCAGGAGATTGTACCATTGAAAAAGCCTTGGAAGGAGCGGTTGTTCCACTACAGAGTATACATAGTCCCGGGTTTAATCCTGGACAAGTCTAACTGAAAGGATCTCATAGACTAAGACTCTAATCTGGGATTGTCTGCTCTTATTGGCAGCAGCTCTCCAAGGTCTGGGGCTCAGAGGGGCTTTGCTCAGCCCTTTTATCTTAGCTCAATGAACTGGAGAGAGCTGGGATTGGAATGGGAAGTGCCTGTGTGTGCAGCACCTATTGGCCCTTGCTTGGGGAGCCAGAGGCCCTGATGGTCTCTCAGCAGGCAGAGGCAGGATACCTCTCTGTATGCTGGCTAGAAAGACCCGCCCTCCTTGTGACAAACCCTCAGAAGCATCTGGCTGGCTGGTGTTGCACACTACACATTACTACGGCAAGCATAAACTCCCCAAGCCAGGACCATGGAGGTGTATGTGTATGGGGAGGGGGCGGAATTGGTGGGAATGGCTTGGCAGGAGGGGCAGCGTTGCTCTTTCCAGCCCTTCTAGCTCTCCCCTACCAACGCCCCCCCCCAGGCCAGTTCACCACACCCTAGCTGGACGTGCTTCTGTTTTGGAAAAGATGTGGCTATGGACTGGCATTTGCAAGGGAGAACAGGCTGGGGGTGGCTGTTAATTGATTAATTTATTTACAAAAAGTATATCCTGACTCCCCAGAGATTTCTTCATGGTGGCTCACAATGTAAAAACTGTGCAATAAAATCATAAAAGACAAGAACAGAATGACTAGCAACATTAAAACATAAAAGGAAGCGATATAAACAAGCCAAGGATTTAAAAACAGGGTGAAACAACAGCCAGCCTCTCTGTCACATCCCTGTCTCTGCCGCCTCTGTCCCACCATTCCTCCAAGGGCAGGGAGCACATATTGGTTTCCGCTCCTCCATGTTATGCCCACAACAATGCTGTGGGGAAGGTAAAGCTGAGAGAGACTGATTGGTCAAAGGTCACCCAGTGAAGCTTCATGGCTGAACGGGGATCTGAACTCAGGTCTACACATTCCTAGTCCAGTGCTCTAACCACTACACCACGGCCTCCATCATCTTGTGGATTCTCTGTGCAAATTGCCCTGGGCCAAAGGCAGAGTTTGCCTTGAAACACAGAGCACTGCTGAGAATGCCGGAGTAGACCTTAATGATTTCCTGTGTTCAGAAAGGCATTTAATTTGAGGTCGATGGGCACATTTAATTGGCTAATTAATTGGATCTTACTGCCATAGAGTGTTGGAGGGGGAAAGCGGGAAATTCCCGGGAGACTTTGGGGGGTGGGAAGAAGAATTAAAGCTGGGTCCTGAGAGGAGCAACTCTGACCTTTGGGGGAGGGTCCTCAATCAATCCACCCACTATCGAGCGCTCTCCCTAAGGTCCTCATAGGAGAAGGCCAAAGACACAGGGTCCAAGGCCATTCCAGTGTTGGACTATACAAGGTCTATAGTGCACCTGCTGGAAGAAGATCAGAAGCACAGCCTACAGGGGACAGCTGAAGGACTGCTAGTTGCCATAGCTACGTTAGGGACTTCCCACAATTTCAAATTTTGTCCTTCCTGTCTCCTGATTGGCTCTTCTGAGACTTCCTGCTCCAAATCGCTCCTGTCTCTCACAGCAGTTAGTCCATTAGTTAAGCCTCTCTCCCTCTCCTTTGTTCTATCAGAGTTTATTTCTTCTTTAATAAACCAAGCTTTTTTCTTTAAACAGTTGGTGCTCCATTCCAGTTTGGTGTAGTGGTTAAGTGTGCGGACCGGGTTTGATTCCCCACTCCTCCACTTGCACCTGCTGGATGACCTTGGGCAAGCCATCGTTCTGACAAGAGCTGTCCTTGGAAAAGAGCAGTTTGTGTCAGAGTTCTCTCCACCCCACCCACCTCAAAGGGTGCCTGTTGTGGGGAGGGGAAGAGAAAGAAGTCTGTAAGCCACTCTGAGACACCTTTGGGTAGTGAAGGGTGGGGTATAAATCCAATCTCTTCTTCTTCTCTTTTCTGCATGTTTAAACTCTGCCAGCATCCAGCATGTCACTTCCCTTTATACCACTGTACCAGGCCTGGGAACCACCTTGAACTCCTCTTGGGCTGCGACCAGAGGACAGAGAATGGAAGAGGCAGAGTTAGGATGACCTCATCTGTGGGGAGGAAGGAACCAGGGCTCTCTATCGCAAGCAGGTGTGGGGCATGGGGGGGGACCAGCTGGTGAGGTGGGGGATGCTGGGGAGCAGTGTTCCCTCTAGGCTGAGTCAGTGTGAGCTAGCTCACAGCTTTTTAGCCTCCGGCTCACCCATTTCTGTCTTCGTTCAGGAGGGATGGGCTCCAGAGCAAACTAATTTATGCAGCAGCCCAATCGCTCACTCACAACTTTCATGCCAGTAGCACATAAAGTAGGATTTTTGCTCACAGGACTCCACAGCTTCGAGGGAGCCTTGCCGGGGAGTGGCCTGGCCAGCAGAACAGACGGGAGGCAAGGGAGAGTTTTGGTGGTGGGGGGAAGTCTCTGAGTTTGCAGGGGCTGAAAAGGAGCCCTCTTACCTTGCTAGCCTGATGCTCTGCTCAAGGCGTGTGTGCATAGGTGTGCAAAGGGGGGGCAGGGGGTGTGGTCCTCTCTGTGCATAGGCACGGTCGCCAGGCCACAAGGCAACACACCTGAGGGGCCCAAGCCACCGGCTGTGCAGACCACCCACTTCCAGTCCCCAGCACCTGAGGCCCAGCTGGGAGGCAGAAGCACTCTTCTGGGTGGGGAACTTTCCCCCTCTTGCTCCGACTGAGTGTGCAGCAGAAGGCTCTGCCCGGGTGTGTCCCTCCCAACCTGAGTTCGGTTGCCTTCTTGCCTGGCTCACTTCTCCCGGGGGGGGAGGGGGCGGCAGCACAAGGCGGGCCAGGAGACCTCGCAGCTCAGACACGGGCTGGGAAAAGGGGAGAAAACCCCCCTGCAGTATCGATACAAGACTCTGTCTCCAGCCTGCCCCCTCCGAAATTCTCTCTCCAGGCAGCCGAAAGCAGAGGTGGGGGGGGAGGGGGAGGTGCTTGCGCTTGGATCTGAGACGGGGTCCTTCCGAAGGCTGGAAATGTTCAAGGATTTTCGCCAAATGGGGGGGGCAACAAAGGTGCAGTTGCCCAGTCTTTGTGGCTGACAGCTCAGCTGAAGTAGAATGCAGGGTAGCTTGGTGAAATCCTGCCTTGAGGACACGGGGTGGGGTGGGAAGGTGAAGTGCCAGGGGAGGGAGGAGGGGCTCCTCAGGTGGGAGGCAGCAGGGCTGGTGCCCTGGAACACATCCAGCTGCTGTACACTGAAATCAGACCACAGGCATTGTCTAAGACAGGCAGCAGGTCTCCAGGGTCTCAGGCAGAGGTCTTTCACATCACCTTCTATCTGGTCCTTTTAACTGGAGATGCTGCCGGGGATTGAACCTGTGACCTTCTGTATGCCAAGCAGAGGCTCTTCCGCTGAGCCACATCCCTCTCCATAAGCTTTGTGTTTACTGTAGCCTGCTCTCATAGGAACACATGAAGCTGCCTTGTATTGAACCAGACCCTGGGTCCCTCAAAGTCAGTCCTGTCTACTCAGACTGGCAGTGGCTGTCCAGGGTCTCAGGCCAAGGTCTTTCTCATCACCCACTGCCCGATCCTTTCAGCTGCAGATGTTGGGGATTGAACCCCTGGACCTTCCGCGTTCCAAGCAGATGCTCTACCACTGAGTCACGGCTTCCCTTCGGTGGGCTTTGTGGCCCATATTGAAGGTCCAAGCCAGAGGCCAAAGAAGCTGGTGCTTAAATCTTCCTCACTGAAGCCACTCACTGACTCACCTCTGAGCATCCATCAAATGTGATTCCGACATAAGCCACAGGTAGACCATGCCCCTGGCCTGCTCTGCATGACTGCAGTGGCTCTTACTCCCAGGTGAACGTGTACAGAGTACCACTCTGTGTATGCTTACCTGGGAGTAAGAGCCACTGCAATCATGCAGAGCAGCCTTTCTGTCTGCCTTTGAGGGCTCTGTTTACTCTACAGGAAAGGAGAAGAGAAGAAGAGACTAAATTTATACCCTGCCCTTCACTACCCGAAGGAGTCTCAGAGTGGCTTACAATCTCCTTTCCCTTCCCCTCCCCACAACAGACACTCTACGAGGTAGGCAGGGCTGAGAGAGCTCTGACAGAAGCTGCTCTTTTTCAAGGACAGCTGTGCCAGAACTATGGCTTGCCCAAGGTCATCCAGCCAGGTGCAAGTGGAGGAGTGGGGAATCAAACCCTGTTCTCCCAGATTAGAGTCCACACACTTTAACCACTACACCAAACTGGTGTATCCTGTCTACCACCACACCAGCACCACACCACACCACACCACACTGACCTGACTACCACCACACCAGCACCGCCATTCCTGCACACCGCTTTCCATGTGGCTGGCTCCCTCTGCAATCTAAGAGCTCCCCCACCCCCGCATACTTCAAGGTATCTCAGCAAGTCCCTGACATTCAGACGTGCCCTCCAGACCCCAAGCTGACCCCATGGAGATCTTGCAAGTAACTTGGGAGAAAAGGTTCATGTTTTGCCTCTTGCTGTGACAGGATGAAGACACTGGAGTGGAGCCGGCACAGCCTGTTCAGCCTCCTGAAAGGGACTCTCGCCACTGCACTCATCCTGGTGAATCTGGCCTTCGTGATCTCCCAGGTGAACCCTGCAGGGGACCCAGTGGGTTTCTCTTATGGGATGCTCTGAAAAATCTAATACTGAAATCTTTTGGTTTGGTCTCAGGCTGAAGTTATCGCTTGCCACAAATTGCCGACAGCATTTTTAAAAAGGTCTCTTGTCTAACATCCCACTGAGAAATGTTCTTCCGTTCATTGTTTGCACTCTCAGCTGCCCTTATTTGCAGTGATGGAGCAGAATCCAAAAATGGGAGCTCTGGATTTCTTGGACCCAGGGGTCATTTCGCAGAAAAAGAGCTAGGGGAACTCATTAGCATAACTCATTAGCATATGCCACACACCCCTGACATCAGGGGCCCGGCGGTGGACCTGCAAGGCCAGCGGGAGTGCGAGGAAGCCCCGCCAAGGCCCTCCCTGGCCCCAGGCAGGCGGGGTGGGGAGAGGCGGGGAGGAAGCAACTTACCCTCCCTCTTCTCCTGCCTCCTCCTGGCTGAATGAGGGCCGGAAGCGGGGCGGCCGGAAGCAGGGGCGGGGCTTTGTCATGTGCCCCACCCCCCTGCACCTCACCCGGGGGAACTGTGTTCCCCCGCGTTCCCCCCCGAAATGACCTCTGCTTGGACCCATCCCCTTGATCTGTTTAGGACTGGAACCAGTTGGGGCAGAATCTGTCCAACTTTAGCCCCCCCCCCAACCCCTTTTTGCACCAAAAAGGAGGGGCTCCTAAATGGGAGGTGAGGGAGGCTGTGGGGAGAGCGGAGGCCGCCCCCCCAAGCCCTGCTCTGTGTCCGACCGTGACATCAGGCCCCTTGAGGACAATCGGCGACGGGGTCCAATTTAAATCTGATTACTGTATGCCATTTCGTGTTCTATTAAATCTGATTACTGTATGCCATTTCGTGGTGCTATTCTGAACTAATGAAGGGGCCTTCTCCTTGCTGTTTCAGTGATTGTAATCGCATAACCAACTCTGACTGACTAAGTAGCGCTGTGATAGGAACCCTGGTTGGCTGGGATCACTCATGTGACCGAGTTGGGATTTAGAAGGGTCTGAACTGTTTAAGATTGTGCTCACAGTGCAGGGGTCTCGAACAGTACAGGCCTTGGTATCCACAGAGCTTGCAAGAAAGTGGGCAGGGCCATTGTAGGGCACAGTTTTGCTATTGGCTCCCCTCATTCAAATGAAAGGGTTTTACACTAGAGGATGGGGAAGACTGGTAGGCCTCTGGGATTTCCTTAGTCAGTGTGCGGCCCTGTTGTCCCTTCAGGATCTCCTTCTTCTCAGGAAGTATGAGGAGGAAGGTTTTCCATTTGGTTCTGCCTCCTGAGGCAGCCATTTTGGATTTGGCTCCACCTTTTGTGGGAGCCATTTTGGGGTGGCACTCACCCTGCCCCCTCAAAATGCCCAAAGTGCCTGCAGGCTCAAAAAGGTTTTGGTGCTATTCTGAACTAATGAAGGGGCCTTCTCCTTGCTGTTTCAGTGATTGTAATCGCATAACCAACTCTGACTGACTAAGTAGCGCTGTGATAGGAACCCTGGTTGGCTGGGATCACTCATGTGACCGAGTTGGGATTTAGAAGGGTCTGAACTGTTTAAGATTGTGCTCACAGTGCAGGGGTCTCGAACAGTACAGGCCTTGGTATCCACAGAGCTTGCAAGAAAGTGGGCAGGGCCATTGTAGGGCACAGTTTTGCTATTGGCTCCCCTCATTCAAATGAAAGGGTTTTCCACTAGAGGATGAGGAAGACTGGTAGGCCTCTGGGATTTCCTTAGTCAGTGTGCGGCTCTGTTGTCCCTTCAGGATCTCTTTCTTCTCAGGAAGTGTGAGGAGGAAGGTTTTCCATTCGGTTCTGCCTCCTGAGGCAGCCATTTTGGATTTGGCTCCACCTTTTGCGGGAGCCATTTTGGGGTGGCACTCACCGTGCCCCCTCAAAATGCCCAAAGTGCCCGCAGGCTCCAAAAGGTTGGGAAACCCTGACATAGTGTGTTCCAGGAAATTTTCACTCCATGAAAATAAGGTATCTTTGATCCTAAAACCAAAACCTGAGAACATGAAATACAGCCTTAGTTTAAACTGGCATGCTGCAGGGGCAATCGCTAGGATAGAGTGCAGAAATGTGGCTATATAATTAAGGGACTGTGGAGAGATTTCTTATCCCCATCCCCACCCCCACCAAGAAAATATGTGGTAGAAAAGATGTGCAGTACTGAGTTTTGAGTGGCAACTTGTCCACTGAGAAAGGTGGCCGTTGGCTCTGAGTACGAGCTGTGAACCAGGAGCTCTGAGTTCAAATTCACCTCAGCCGTGAATTCATTAAGTAGCTAAGATGCTCCCTGGACCCCAGTCCTCCCATCTGCCTCATGGGTTTAATAATACTTTATATTGTGAGGATTGTTGAGGGAACACAGGACAGACTCCTGTTGCAGCAAACACCCAAAAGCCCTCAGCAGTTTGACAGATTTATTGTGGCAGAGGCTCCTCTGGACTAGCGCCAGCGTCCGGTTTTCAAGAGTGGAGCCCTCTCAAGTGCTCAGTGTGGCATGAATGACACAGCAGTGAAAAGAGGGCCTTTGGACCCTGCGCTTCTCATCAGCTTCTGCCTGCCTCATTTTTTGTTCTTTTGCGGCATTTTTATGCTATTTATCATATGCATTGGGGGAAAGTAAATCACAGAGAGCAGTGCAGAAATAAAGAATTACAGGTTGTTCCTCATAAGAGAGAAGCGAAATCAAAATGGGGAATATTTGAATTAACCCAAACAACTCGTCAGATTTGGTCTCAGGCAAGTCTGATGTCCCGGGATGGCTGGAGAAGGTGCCTAAAAGAGGTTTGACACACAGACACACACATGTACCCCTTTAGGACACAAAGTGTGCTGTACCCAAACCTGGGAGATCTGGGTTCCAATGAAGCTCCACTTGGTGACCTTGGGACAGTCCCACAGCCTCAGTCTACAGGGCTGTTGTGAGGCTAAAACAGATGAGAAGAGAACCATACACGCCTCTTGGAGCAATTTGGGGATGGGCAGGTGGGAAAATATAGAAATTGATCATTTAATTATTATATGTCAATGATGCTTGCGCAGTGGTTTGGGAGCCACATGTGGCTCTGATCTTCCATCTGAGCCTGCCTCGGCAGGGAGGGGAGGACAAAAATCGAATGAATTAATTAATTAAATCAGTGGCTCTTCAGTCCCCCAATGAGGTACCCACTCCACGTTCCAAGAAAGTGAACAAGGCCATTCCTCAGTGGGGCTCATAGCTGGCGGGTGGTTCCTGCATTGAAACGGTTGTTGCTGGGAAGAGTGGAGCGGCTAAGCTTTCCTGAGCTGCAGGCCTAATGCCAGGGACAGAAACAGCCAGTCCTCTCCAGCAATGCCTTCTTTGCAACCTCCAGGTGTAGTTATGTATTTGATATCAATACAGGGCCGGCTCACTCACTAGGCGAACTAGGCGATTGTCTAGAGCGGGCTGGCCCTTAGGGGCGCCAAACTGCACCAGGCCCCGTACTCTGGGAGTTTCTTGATTATTTGTCTTTTTCATTCTTCCTAAAATGCATTTATTTTTGAAAAATGGTGGGCACACGGGGGGGGGGCGCCAGAAGGGATCCTCGCCTAGGGTGCAAAATAAGCTGGGGCCGGCCCTGTATCAATAGTCATATTATCGCACGTGTGGGTTTGGTGGGGTGATACGCTGGAATACAGCAGTCAGGCAGCTCTTCAGGTTGGTGGGAATCCCGACGAATGGGGCTCTCCGTGACAGGCGGAGTGAGTGAGGTGGAGTGAGCACGTGCCGCTTTTCAGACTGTTCTCTCTGGCTCACATCAGTCAAGGGCAGAGGTCATTTCGGGGGGGATTACGGGGGAACGCAGTTCCCCCGGGTGAGGTACGGGGGGCGGGGCACATGACGAAGCCCCGCCCCCTGCTTCCAGCCGCCCCACTTCCGGCCCTCATTCAGCCAGGAGGAGGCAGGAGAAGAGGGAGGGTAAGTTGCTTCCTCCCTGCCTCTCCCCACCCCT